TTTTTCCATAAAAAATATATTTGTAAAATATATTTAATCCAAGCAGTTATTATCATGGATCGAAAATAGATTACAGTCGGTAACTTCTCCATGATAAAAGGTTGACACATCCATTAAGATTCCTGTATATATCGTTTTTATATATTATCTTCTCCTCTTCCTCTTCCTCTGCCTCTCGTTTTTCTCCAACTCTCCTCCCCTGAAATAATATTCGGGTGAGGCTAATTTGTATAAAAAGTTCATAAAGTTTTGTTCCCGCCGATGTCTCTCTGCTCGTATCCTCCTTGGCCGCCATTTTGTAATATAAAAATAAAGTTAAAAAAATAGATGTAAATTAAATAGATGTAAATTAAATTATATATTGGTTTATTTCGATGTTTACGAAGTAAATAAAAAATTATCTGGAAGAATTACAGTAGCGACAGCATTGGATGCGGCGGCGGGAACAGCAGTGCGACGAAACTGCGACGGCGGTGGAAGCTACTGCGGCGATGGGAGCTGTTCCGGTGGCGGGAACTGCCCCGGCGGAAGTTATTTGCTGAGGCAGCTCCCTTAAAAGCTTCCTCGCTGTACATTTCTAATTTTACAAAATTTATTAAATATGTTATACAAAAATGTTATAAAATAAAATAAGTATAAATAATTATTTAAAATAAATATGGGAGAAGAATTACTTATCGACATCCATGATCTTTGGAAACGAATGAAAATCAAATAACAGCACTGTCATTCTTATGGCTTTTGCATACAGAACGCTTGTCGTGCGGTGGAAGTTGGAAGCGATAAGTAATCGTTCTTTTGCTCTTACAGAAAGTAATGAAAAATTAATAAACTGATTGGCTATTACACTTCACATGAAGTGAAATTAGTATGATTTTCATTGTCACTATCGTTTCTAGTGTCTTTACTATTTTACTATTTACGGTTTGTTCTTGTGATTGCGATATAAGTATAATTTACCATAATATATAAGATATAAGTATACGTAACAATGAGTTCCTAATCATTGTCTAAATTATAAAAAGTTGGCTGGGAGTATACACTTTTGCATGACGTACAATGCATAAAGTATAAGAAAAATAAACCAATTATATAGTTTTCCATTTTTACTATCATGATAATGAAAGACTATGATTGGTTGATTCTCTTATGCGTTATGCGATATGTCTTTTGTAAAAGTGTGTACCTCGACCCTTTAATTAACCGAAGTTAGTAGAAGTATCCTTTAATGCTCATTTTTATCAACAGAGATTAAATTTAATCTTAGAACCCATACTTTTGTATAAGGCAAAACACATAACGCATAAGAGAATTAACCAAAGCTAGAGGCTTTCATTTTCATTACGATAAAAATGAAAAACTATAATTGGTTCATGGGAATCAGCGCTGTTGACAGTGCGCAATTAACTCTTTATTATAAACTTTAATATGTATTACATATTGTAAGATTACTCATAGATCACCGAGTATGTGAGCGGTCATCACGAGCGATATCGGCGCTCGCGTGGGGCATGCCGGCGCGGATCAGATGACCCGGAGTAACGAGGAAACGGAGCACAGCTCCGATGGTGTGCGGAGGCCTCGTGCGACACTTGGTACTCAGAGTCAGAGAGAACAAGTTGTCGCTTATCGTAGAGCCAATTCGTGAAGTCTTTATTGAATTCGTGGAAATACTCCGAGGAACTAGTATCGTCGGAGTATACGCGCAGCGTTCGGCATCATTGTAATTATCAGAGCGCAACCAACGGTGTTCTTTTGTATTCTTCGTGTATGTGCGCGAATTAAAATAAAGACGTCGTTTTTGTAAAAAAGAGAAAGAACATTTTATTTGTATCGAATATAAAACTCGCCTTCCTGATCCTGGCTTGTAAGCTCCTGACCTTACAGCCAGCCAAAGTCAGAAGTGGGATGAAGCTCGCGATTTCCTCGCGAATACGGGTTCGACTCGTGATTTTCTCACGGATACGCGTTCAGTACGTAATGCGGCCATTCACGGACAGTCGTGAAACCTTTTCACTTGCCGTAGTGTTAATTTCTACAAGGGATGATGGACAGGAGAATACTGGAAGCCATGTCCCTGGAGCAGTTTCAAGAGGAAGCAAGAAGGTATCAGATCATGGCTTTAGATGATCGGTATGCGTTAATTGAAGCTTTGGTGGAGCATTTTAAAAAGAATAGTCCCGTGGATCTCATAGGATTAAGATCTACTCCGCCTACAGTAAACGAAGTTTCGCATTTACAGCGCCTATGAATACCGCTCCGATAGCAAGAACGCAGAGTTCCAAGAGGGAACTCAGTAAGGAATTGGCGGCTGCTGTTTCTGCGGTGATAGAACCTATGCTGCGGATACAGCAGCAGCTACAGCAGCAGCTTTATCAAAGCCAACAGATTCAACAGCAACTGCTGCAGGGTCAGCAGGCACAGCAGAATCTGTTGTAACAAATGGCTACCGCCTTTGCGAGGCCCCTGCCACAAAACGAAACGCCGGCTCTCACACCGGAAGAGCCCACGGCGAACGAGGCAAACGTCTCGTAGTCAGGGATCCTCGGAGCGAATGGCCATGGATGGCATGGCAATTCACTCTAACTCAGTGATGTTAGTAACATCTCAAATCCCTGTATTTGGTGGAAGAGAGGAAGAAAACGTCACATTCTGGGTGAGTCGCATAGATAAAATAGCGCAAGTGTATCGGGTCTCAGACGAGGTAACTTTATTGGTTGCTACATCCAAGTTGATTGATTCAGCGAAGAGCTAGTATGAGACGCAATCCGGTACAGTTGTGGAGAGCTGGAGCAATCTGAAACAAGAATTAATACGATTATTTGATAGTAGGATGTCCTACTATGTGGCCCTACAAAAACTTGAGGCCAGAAGATGACAACATTCGAAAGAAACGTTCCGCCAATATGCCTTGGATAAGATGGCGATAGCACATCATCTAAATTTCAATCAAATGAATTAATGATGTGCTGAATTAATTGATGTGCTGTGCAGAGGCATAATGTTGAGTTCTCTGCGAGCAACGGCTCTAGCACTCAAATCATTGACAGTAGATCAATTTCTGAGCGAAATGAAGCACATAACCGAAGGAATCAAAGACCTGCAAAATAGGAATGAACCGCATTCCCGCGGAACAAGACACGTGTAGCACAGAACCAGCGGAGGACAAAGTAGAGGCGCTCAACCGAAGGACGAACGAAAATTAATACGAGTAGAAGTGTGTTACCATTGCAAGGAGTCAGGGCACAGAATTGCAGTTTGTCCGAAGTGAAGAGGGAACGTACCGGCATCCCGTCGCAGCATTCAGCCTGGCAACCCATAGTAGCAGCGATGGTGGAAACGACCAACGAGGAGTCAACCATGGGTCCATCGTGGCGGCAATGACTGGAGCACCGTCAGAAATTGGAAAGATATGTAAACCATTGATTAATGTCATATATATTAACGGAAATAGTTGTAATTTACGGGCACTTGTAGATACCGGTAATCAGGTCTCGGTAATTGCGTTCAATCATTTCAGTCACTTCATGAACCGATCATTTTTAATGTTGGAAGTCGCGGATAGAAAGATAAAAACAGCCAATAACTCGGA